TTCACTTTCCCTTGTGTGCTCACAAGATTCACAGGGGGTTTATTACTTTTTTGTTTTCCCTAAATTTTAATATTCTTGTGTGATTATGTAATTATGTGATAATAAATATTTCATGTCTGTCTAAAGACGAAAGAAATAGTGTGTCCACTAGAGACAGCTATTGAGATTGACATATTACATGACTTAGATTAAGGTTTTTCTGCTTGGGAGCAAATTTAATAATTGAGTCATTTTCATATTGGTGAGAATTGTGTGTGGGCTTTTGTATCCTTTCATTTACTCATGCTACATCATGATCTCATCTCACTTTCAAACACCACAAAATTTTCCTCCACTATTAGTGGTTGAAATAAATATATAATTCTTGTTGTCTACAAATAAATAGTGTTAGATGTAACCATGAAAAGAGATGTCAATTGATTTGCATTTTTTAGCAATTTCATATTAATTGTCTAGCTTAGTATTCTCACTTGTTTGTATTAACCAAGTAATATTGGCTTCAATTGTTGTAATATTGATAATGGAAAACAGTTTTGAAGCCCAACTCAAGGGTTCATTGACTTATTTCTTCCTAACATATCATTTTTCTTTCCTTTTTTTTTTCTTTCTTTTTTTTAATGACTGCAGCAATCTCATTGGATATTGAAGGAGTTCAGAGGACAAACCAGCTGATTCAATTTGTGGATAGATGATATGAGATTGTAAAAGAAAAATGTCCTTCAGTTTCACTTTGTAACATATGATTAGGGTTTGGTCATGAGAATGTAATATGTGGATCTAAATGTTCATTGTTTTGGAGTATAGAACTATAGTTTGTGTACTATATTGATAAATATTGGTTTTGTTCTGATAATCTAATTAGTACACTTTCAAGCTTTTTTAGGGTTCCTTAATATCGTTGCCCATAACTTGTGCACTAATGTTTGGAACATGTTATAATTTGAAGAATCTGTATGCCATTAAGGTGGCCTATGTATAATAATATGTTGTTAATAAATCATTGTGCTAAATCATTGTGCAATGTAAGGGTTCGTAATTAACATGTTTAAATGGAAAAATGTTGTTCTTTTGTACTTGAAAGTTGAAATTGATGCAATTGATTGAGTTGTTTGTTTATTCTATGATCATCTATTAAACTCAATTTATAAAATAAATTTTGTTTATTAATGCTCAGTAAGTATTTTCATATGAGGTCCAAATTGTGAAATTCCTTGATAATCAGGAGGATCCAAATTAACACGGTCAGATTTTAGTCTAATTTCACTGATTTAGGACATTAGGCATTCATGCTCTTCTTTACCAAAATATAACTTCATTCTTTCAACCAATATTAATTGTACATTGTAAATATCTCATGTTTTCCTTTCCTTTGTTTTGCTTTTCAATCTCATACTTACTCCTACCATCTCTGTTTTTTTTTTTTTTTTTGGCGCCTCCTTTTGTGCTTTCTACCTACTGATTGACACTATGATGCAGACGAGGGGGTTCTCCTTCCCCTCGCGTTGCTATTGTTGTGCTGAGACCGGCGATTTTCAGACTGAGACCTTTACCCATCTTTTTTTAGAGAGCGAGACTGTGAGGAGAGTGTTGGAGCATTACACCAATTATACTTATATCCCCCTACCCTCCACAGATACTTTCTTTGAGCTCTTGAGTTTTTTCAGACACCGCACACACATTAGACACATGAGCTTCCTTATTTCTTGTCTGATCTTTTGGGCCACCTGAACAGAAAAATACTTTCTTTGAGCTCCTGAGTTTTTTCAGACACCGCACACACATTAGACACGTGAGCTTCCTTATTCCTTGTCTGATCCTTTGGGCCACCTCGACAGAAAGGAATAATGCGAAATATGGAGATAACCCTTTTTTGTGTTCTCATATTATTTTGCAGGTTGACCGACATCTCTCCCTCCCCACCGCTTTGGGCACTCACCCAGAGAGACTGGACAGGTTGCACGCCACCGCACCGCCTTGCACCACCGCCGCTGGTGCCTGTCCAGCATCCACGTCCCAAAGTTGTTGTTTGGCTGAAACCCGAGTCGCCTTGGGTTAAGTTAAACGTTGATGGAGCCTTTGATCAACTTACTGGAGTGCAGGAGGTGGGGGCCTGATTAGGGATCATAGCGGCGACCTTATTGCCGCATTTCATACCCTTCTTGGGACCTCCTCGAGCTATGACGCGGAGGTTCAGACGCTTCAAATCGGTCTTCAGATTGTTGCTTCGATCTCCTCTCACATTTGGATAGAGCTGGACGCTGCTGTTGTCGTGACTCTCGTGTCATCTGGCCATCAGGGCACGTGGCAGATCCAACACCCTCTCATGCGTATCAGAGCCATTCTTCAGTCAATTCACTCTCGGATCTCGCATATCTTCCGCGAGAGGAACCGGCCAGCTGACTTCCTCGCTGGCATCGGGACGTCCACCCCCTACAGACGCATTCTTTACCCTGACGATATCCCCCTTCGCCTCCGCACTCTCATACGGATAGACCAGATGGGATACCCTTCATTCAGATTTGTGTAGTCGGTCCTATCTTTTGGCGCAACTACCACACTGTGATGCTGACTTTTTCACCGAGACTCTCCCCGGACCAGGATCTGTTACTTTTGTATTTCTCACTGCAGATGTCAGCTACTCCTTGTATCTTTTTCTTGTTTCTATATTTTTTTCTTATTTTTGGTTTTTTGTGCTTTTCGTTTGACTTGATGTATATCAGACATTGGACTTGTAGATTTGTGACTTTTCAGCCCAATTAGGGAAATTTTATATACAAGTTGAGGGTTCGACCTTAACCCCAACCCTAGGATGTTGTTTGAAAAAAAAAAATAAAAATGTTGGCACATATGTGAAAACTGCAATATATTATAAGGTTATAACAAAACTTCTCACTTGTTACAATCATAGCTTAACATTTAACTCATAAATAGTTTCAAAAAAATGGAGTCCCATGTAAAACTAGTCCGAGTTCATTACAAAAGACAACAAAACCTTCATTTGAAACTACATGATATCATGAAAACTTCAAAAACATTAGCAAAATGCCATCAGTCTAAACTGAACCGAAAATACATAATATTAAGCGCCGTGGATGGAACTTCAAACCAACGATCATCACAAATCCAATTCCCAATAACGCCCTCAGGCGAGCCTCCCGGGCTCTGATCGGGCCATCTGTCCACCAACTCAAACCCGTATTTTAATCCAGCCAAGACTATAGAAGGCTCGTCAACCCTACGCAAAACGTGACACAACACTAAAACCGACCCTTTCTCGTTTGAAACCAATTCCTTAGCAGTTGCGAATAATGGCAAAATCGATTCCAAAACATAAGTCACGTCGGTACCAATAATTACGTCAAACCCTTCCTCGTTAATTTTTTTTACAGCCTCTATATCGTTTTTATTCCCCCATTCGAGCTTTTTCACGGTTAGACGATCAAGTAGATTCGAGTCCGTATTTGCGTATATGTTTTGGGCCAAGAGATCAAGGGCTTTTGGGTCTCCATCGGTGGCCACCACAAGATCGGCCGATCGAGCGGCTATCATCGAGCAAATTCCCACGCACCCACACCCGAGCTCTAGAACCTTCTTTCGGGCAATAATCCCCGGATTTGCAGCGAGTATGGATGCCATTAGTCGAGCGGACTCCCAAAGCATTAGGCCGGTTGACGTGCATGTGTGTTGGTATTCCTTCGAAAGTACTTTAATCTTGAAAAGGAGATTGTTTATGGAAAGCTCGACTATCTAGGTAATGTGAGATGACAAAATATACAAGTTAAGGCCTCTAAGAAGGAAGAAAAAAATGTTAAATTAGTATAAGTCCAAAATATACCTCTTCACGGGAAGATGAAATATCGAACATTTCTAAGGCCATTCCTTCAGACATGTCAATTTCAAATCCATTGGCATCATCTTTCTTAGTTTTGGCCGAATCCCTATTTAGATCCTTTTGTTCATCTTCATATACAGTAAAACTAATTTTATTGTCATTAACCACCCGAAAAACAGCTTGAATCCACCGCCTGTATTACAAAACAGCAAAAACATCATGCACAGAGTGCAAATGGGATAAAATTGTGGAGAATTATGGCATGATTGGTATGATGGAAAGAAATTTGGTAGGAATGGAATGAATTGAAGAATGGAATGATTATGGGAATTGAATGAAACATGTTTTGTCATTGATACGTTTGGTATGCAGAATGAATAAGGCTGGAATGGAATGACATTATTATTTTTTATTATAAAAATAAATAAAAGTTTTTTTTTAAAAAATAATATACTTTTAATAAATTATAAATATTTTTTTAATAATATATAAAAATAAAATAAACTATTTTTAATAATATATTTTGAATAATATATAAAAGTAGAATAATATATTGTTTGATAATATAAAAATAATATATTTTTAATAATATATAAAAATAAAATAATATATTTTTAAATTATATATATATTCTTAAAAGTAATATATTTTTAATAATATCTATTTTATTTTTTAATTAAACAGTAAATAAAAGTAAGCTTTCAATTTTTTATTTGAATTTTATTTTTTAAAATAATATATTTTGAATAATATTTAAAAATAAAGTAATATATTTTTAATAATATATATTTTTAATATCTTTTTTCAATAATATATTTTTAATAATATATTTTTAAAAGTAATATATTTTCAATATATAAAAAATAATATATTTTTAATAAGATATAAAAATAAAATAATATATTTTTAAATTATATATAAATGCTTTTTTTAGTTTTATTTTTATATAAGTATTTAATATATCTAATTAAAAAATAAATAAAAGTAAGTTTTAATTTTTTTATTTGATTTTTTTTTTAAAATAATTTTATTTAATATATTTTAATCATGATTTATATTATATATTATATATTTATTTTTTATTGTTATTTGTTAATTTTATTTTTTGAAAAATTGATTTCTACACACATGGGAATGAGAAAACCTTCCATTTACTCTGGAATGGCTAATCCCATGGAGATGAGTTTTGTCATTCCCATTGGAATGATTATTCATTCCAAAAAAATATACCAATCATGGGAATAGGAATGAGGAAGGGAATGAATATTTCATTCTCATGTCATTCCTTCATACCAATTATGCCATTAATACTTGTATTCGTTTTATGATTTTAACTTACCGGTTCATTATAATCTCTTTGGACCTGTTTTCCACTTGCTTGCAACACAAGACATGTTCTTCCATGACAAACCCATCTTGTAGGAAAAGATTTCTTAAGAACTCGTCCGAGAAGTAGAAAGCCCGCTGGTGAAGCCCAAAATGAATTTTAATAAGAAGCTGGATGAATTCACATAAGTTCAAGAAGGAATAATCTGAGTGGAATAGCAACTTACAGTGCCATCCCCCCTAACATAGAAATTTTCACTGATTTTTTGCTCCTTGCCACTGAACCTTTCCTGTTCATATTAAATTAGTTATATGGAAAATATTAAATCAAGAATATATTATGGACAGGCTAAATCACTGGCGCTGTTTGATTAAAACTCTACCTGAGCAAGATCACCAGTTGCATAATCGCGAAACAATATACGACCAGTTGGCTGGAATAAGGAAATGTCTCTTATTAGAGATAGTGCACTTAAATGGAGAGCTATAGCATAATAAAAATATTTGAAAAATTCAGTACTCGCCTTGAGAACTTTCTGGATATTTTGTACCACCAGAGGCATTTTTTCTGGGGATACTGCAGATAAAACNAACATCCTAGTTTATAGGGTAGGAAGAAGGGATTTATTTAACATCTCTCGCCCAAAAGAAGAAAAATTTTAAAACAAAAAATCATCAAGTATGTATAAGTTAACTATTACCATAGTTACAATGTCAACTGAAGAAGGCGCCACATGCAAGCTTAGATCATCAGTGGTAAGATCACAAACAAATGCATTGACTCTGGCTTCTGTGAACTCCTTGTGCATCTTAATGAAATCATGAGAAAAATCAAGTCACCCAAGAAAACAACAAACGTCAAAGGAAAGAATCGAATGAATAGCAAAAGGAAAGGGTATATTATATCTTACCTTAACCAAATTAACTGCACGTGGTGAAAAATCACAAGCATGCACAAATATATCTGGGTATGTTGCAAGCAAAGGGAAGATCGTATTTCCAGCTCCACATCCAACCTGGTAAGAATCAAGTTTCTCGCATTCATCAACCGAGCAACCATATAAATGGAAATTTCAAGGTCTTGAGTGCATAAAAGTAAAATGTTTTTGTAATATCCAAGTTTAAACAGGACAACAGACACAAACAAAAATTAAATCCACTAAATAAAAACCAAATATAAACCCAAAAGGTGGATGCATCATAAATCATACCTCTAGTATGACCTGTCTTCCTTCTCCCTGAAAAAAAAAAAATAGATGAAAAGAAAAGAAAATGAAAAAACAAAGAACGGAAGTCTGTTAATTATACAACTTATTAGAGTTAACACTTAACAGCACCAACTACCATGCTATCAGCTTTTCGCACTTACAGAAAAGTGGTGTCCCCATTCTTTGTCCAAATAGTGACGATCCTTAAAGAACTGAATAAACACGAAACCAACAGATTAGCATCTGAATTCAGTAACCTCGCATGGCTACAAATAAATATGACCCCACTACATAAACTCTGGTAGTGGTCAAACAAGCAGTGACTTCTCAGTCCAATGGCAGTTCTCTAAATTGCATTATATAGTATACATTTGCAGAACCTATTGAGTAGGAACTCACTCTGTCTTGATGACGCTTATAAAAGATATCCCAGTATTTCTTTGCATCTTTTTCATACTTATCTGCCAACAGAAAATAGTCAAATACTGATTCAGCACACTAAGACTCGCAATTCAATTATTAATAGGCGCTCCAAAACATTTATAAGGAAAGGTTTCAAGAAATGTGACCTCTCCAAAAAGCCGATACTTCGCCATTGGTAGGCGAATATATTTGTATATTTGGCTGTTGTGCCTTTTGATTTTCCTGTCCACATACTTGTTTTTCAGGTGTGGATGCCATTGCTCACCTTTTCTAGTACAAAAAAATGGGAAAGGAAAAACAAGAAGTATGAAAACTCAAATACTCAATTCAAAGCATCCGTTCCCTTAAAATGAACTAGTACAGCGAAAAATAAAAAACATAAGCATTAGGCTTCAAGAATCTTGAACAGAACAAAAAAAGTTGCAATCCTTAACCAACTAACAAAGAACAGAGGCAATACGAAGTCTATGAATCTCAATCCTTGACAATCTTGCTGCAATTTTCACTTCAATATCAAACACATTTCTAGATGGGTATAATGCGCAACACTTCCAATAGAGGGTTTATATAAGAAACTAATCTGAGAAGTGAGAACAGTTTTTCATAATTAACTAAAGCCACTAGGTCACAAAAAAACTAAAGCTCCCCGTATCAGCCCTTGTCCACATTTAGCTCCGAAAGCAATCAGAAAATTGCAGGTGCTCATAAGTACTTCACTTGCACTTCAAATTTTGTGAATCAGACGATTAAAAGGCGTACCTTTTCGCCGACTATCCAAGAAATCGCAATCAAAGAGATTTGGCTCGAGGAAAACAAAGGAACACAGCTACCCTTTGGCTGATGAACTAATTTGTGGACAACCCTTATAGTTTCTTGAAGTTTCAAATGGAACTCGAGGAACTGAAAAACAGATTTCTTTCTCACAGAGCAACACCCTGCAGAAAGGCGCAGCTGCTCATTGCTAAACCCCGTGTCTTAACATTTTTTATTATTCTTATTATTATGAGTAAATAATATTCAACAACATTTATAAATAAAAAAATATTGAGTTAATATGTAATGTAATATGTAATATACAATTTATCTGCATTAACTTATTGAAAATGCTACATAAATTTAACTTGTGTAAAAATATATAAAATATGTTAAAATCCTGATCACACAGAATGACGTGGCACAGATTAATGACGTGGCACAAATATTAATCGCAACTCAAGTAAAAAAAGCAGGCGAAAATCCATAACTAACCTTATGTAGATGTTCTATTCTTAAAAGGCGTTGGGTGTAGCAGAATTCCAAAACTACTCCAATTGATTCCATATGATTCACTTAATGTAACCGCAATAGATCCAGTATAATTAACTTCCTCCAATTCATAAACCAATTCAAAATTAAGTAAAAAATTAAGTAAAAAATTGAACCAATTCATAAACCAATTCAAAAATTAAAAGCAAATATTCATAAACCAATTCAGAATTTTTTCCTCTTCTCTCTTCTTCTTCTTCTTCTAAAAACATAAGTAAAAAAAAAACAAATCAAAACATAAAACGTTTCTATTTCAATGTAATGATTTGCATTTCACAAGATTTCAAAAAATGGAAAAAAAATCTTACAATATCAGTGGATAGAAAAGTTAACATAAAAGCTAGTAAGATACTAAATAACACAAAACAATAACATAACAAAGTTAACAAATAAAAAAATCATCAGCAAGTACGAATCATCCAATCGAATAAACTAGCAAGATACTAAATAACACAAAACAATAACATAACAACTGTAAAGCAACATCAAAACTACTTTAAAGCAACATTAAAATAACATGAAAACAACTCTGTTTTTTATGAAAACTACGCGTGTTGTGGGGCAGTTAATCACAAGTCCAAGCAATTTCATGAATATAACTCACAAAGCAATAAATATATCAATACCAAAGGCCAGTTAATTGTACAATAAACTAAAGTAAACAATAACAACAAGAAACCTGAGTCTGCTCGCCTCCACCGATAGAAAGAAAAAATATGGTGATTAATTTGCAATCACAAAAAAAGTCGTGATAATAGAGGCAATTTTGCCTAAATTTTAGTACTAGTGTTATTGTAAATTTGTAATAGCTGAAATTGGAGCAATGGCCTTCCTTAAACGCGTCGTTTTGAACCGAATTTTGTTATTGTTCATAAATCGTAACTTCCCCAAATGGAGCCCTAATCCTTTATCAGACTAATAAATTTCTGAACAACGCTAGTCCCGATTGTGATAGGCTAATACTGTAACTTGGCGGTTCAATTCAATCAAGACTCACCAGAAAATGTCGACGGTGTATGTGTTGGAGCCCCCGACGAAAGGAAAGGTGATTCTGACGACGTCGTATGGCCCGCTGGACATCGAACTCTGGCCAAAGGAGGCGCCCAAGGCCGTCCGCAACTTCGTTCAGCTGTGCCTCGAAGGCTACTACAACGACACCGTTTTCCACCGTGTCATAAAGTCTTTCCTCGTCCAAGGAGGTGACCCAACTGGCACTGGAGAAGGTCAGCATTTTCATCAATTTTTAGTATTTTCTTTAAAACCCTAACTTTCTCTCTGTGCATCAATGTGCTTTTTAGCTGTTGTCTGTTTCTTGTAATTGGGTTTTTTTTTCGTTTTGTTGGGAAGAGGTAAAAAGGGATAGTGAAATGTGCAGAAATTGAGCTTATTTGCTTGATCACCTTGAACATTCATGGTTTTCTTACTTGTTGAATTAACAATTGCTCGTGGAAGTTTTGCAGTTTCTTGATGCTAAATCACTATTCCCTGCTTGTTTTTGTTTGTTTGATTGATTTCCTTGGCTAAACCGCTATAATATAATCATGATATGCCAGACATTTGTTGTTTATTTGTCGAACTCGTTTGGATTCTGCTGCCTTACAGTTTCCATTGACAAGGTTTTTTTATTGCTCATGTACAGGTGGTGAGAGTATATATGGCGGTGTTTTTCCTGATGAATTTCATTCTCGTCTAAGATTTAAGCACAGGGGTTTGGTTGCATGTGCTGGTGCTAACACACCAAATTCGAATGGCAGCCAATTCTTTATGACCTTGGATCGTTGTGATTGGCTCGACAAGAAGCACACAATATTTGGAAAAGTAATTTTGTCCGTTACATATTGTGTTTTATTTGTATCCTATTAATTGTACTCATGGTGTTTACAGTAAGACTAATTCTTGCTTATTTTTTGTTTTAATTTTCTTAATTTAACAGGTAACTGGAGATTCAGTATTTAATCTCTTACAATTAGGTGAAGTGGAGACTGGTAAGGATGATAGACCAGTGGAACCGCTTCCAAAAATACTTTCCGTAGAGGTACCGGTTTACATTTTGTTGTGTAAGAAAATCGTAGTTGTTGTATTTTTAAACATATAATTGCTAGTGGTATTCTCATGGAGCCATTATTGATTTTATCCCGTCAGCTCAGTCATTTTGTTAAAGTTACTCCATTAGTGTTGCTTTACATCTCTTTTATTTTATTATTTTTTTGTTCAGGTGGTGTGGAATCCATTTGATGACATTGTCCCCAGGACAACCGCTGCAAAGCCCTTACCGCCATCTGAGAAGAAAGAAACCAAGCAAAAGGTTACAAAGTAGGTTCCTTTTCCTATCAATTATATAAGGAACAAATAATGCTCTGAGTGATTACTTTTGTCATATTTGTGTAGTAATAAGATAATTATTTGCTTTTGATATTGTTCGCAGGAAGTTGAACTTGCTTTCATTTGGAGAGGAAGCTGAAGAAGAGGAGAAGGAAATCATAGCTGCCAATACCAGAATAAAAAGCAGTCATGATGTTTTGAATGATCCTCGCCTCCTCAAAGAAGTTCCTGAAAATGATTTGGTAAATGACGGGGAATAATTGGTAGATAATTGTTATTTATCTACTTGGCTTTGTGCTGATGATTAGTACCCGAAAAAAAATGAGGATCTTAGTGGTGAAAATTGAATGTTAGATATTTTCCAACATATATTGACTTAATTTGCTGAATACATTTTGGGAAATAGTAATGTTCCCAACTATAACAATTAACATGTCATTGTTTGTTCTTGGTTATTAACATTCCTTTTTTAGCGAAAATAGTTCTTGGATATTATTTAACTGCATGCTGCTTCTTGGATGTGTATCATGAAGTCTCGCGCTTTTGGTGCCAAAATCTTGATATCCATCATAGAGATTCAAGGCGAACACCAAGATTTTTAATTTTTTTTATAGAAAAAAGAAAAACACTTGCAAAATTAGGTAATTTCAGCAACCATATCTGATGCCTCTTGTGTTTTCAGAACTCTGCCGAACGTCAAAAAGCAAAGGATGCTCAGTTAATCGTGAGAGAAGCTCTCAGTTCAAAGAAAGATCAACCGAAGGAATTAGGGCCTGGCTTTTCTGGATCCATTGATAGCGATGAAGATGAGTCTAGCTTTGATGCAAGAATGCGACAGCAGATACTTAGAAGAAGGAAGGAGCTGGGGGACATACCAGCTAAGAAAGATTTGCATCAAGGTGAGCCAGAAACTGTTTCGTATAAAACTAGTACATTCCAAAATCACCGTTACTCGCGCATCTTTCCTCTTGGCCATGAATCTCCTTGTTTTATAGCAATACTAATTAATCTTTGCTGTTTCAAGGTCTGTCTATTTATATGTAGAGTATCATAAAGCAAACTATGTTGACAGACTTTGATAAAATAATGTCATGAAATTTCTCAGCTTAATAGCTCTTGAAAAATGTTAAAAAGGCCTTACCTGTCATTTGCTTCCTGTTTATTGTTTCTTTTCCTTATTAAATATCTTCACACCATTAGGTCATGTGGTCCTTCTAATCGCATGAATTCATCCTTTTTACTTGTGTAGAGCGTAGGAGCTCACAAAACCAATCAGCATCTCCTCCCAGGTATTATTACATTCACTATATATTACACAATCATTTATCACGTTTCATAAAGGATAATGTATATTTTGCATCTCTAGAATGATTTCAACAGAATTTGCATTTAAAATTAGACAGCATGAACGGTATATTATTGCCATTCCATCTAATTGCTTTAAGATTGCCGGAAAAGCTTAAACTTGTCTTCTTGATTTTGCACTCATAAGGTCACAGGCAGATGACCATGATGAAAAGCCAAAAAAGGATAAATTATCGATCAAGAAGAAAGGAATAGGATCCGAAGTAAGGGCTGAACGCATGGCCAATGCAGACACTGATTTGCAGTTGCTTGGGGAAGCTGAAAGGACGAGACAGCTGCAAAAACAGAAGAAACGCAGGCGTCAAGGACATGAAGATGAGGTGCGCTTTAATATATATTTATTTTAACTTTCTTTTTGTGTATTTTCAGAATCTTGTTCATCTTTCGAACTGTAAAAAACTACAGTATCTTTCTTTGTAGTTTCTGGAGCAGGTTGTGATTTTGTATAGGCTGGAAAGTTATGTCATCCGACTTTGCTATTATTCCTAGAAGTTACGATTTTAGTTTTGTTTTATTGGTGTGTGTTTCTATGGTTGAAGGTACTAGCAAAACTCGAACGTTTTAAGTCAGCTTTCTCGACCAAATTCGAAGGATCGAATAATGGAAATGCTGGTGGCGAGAAGAAGGATGATCACAATAATAATGATGATGACGACGATGTTGATTTATCAGACTGGATGAAAGTTGAGCTAAAATTTGCTCGTGAGCCTGGGAAGGTACAGTCTCCTGGTTGGGAGTATAATTGTGTATTGCTTTTCTATACTAATTTTTATTTATTTATTTCTATATTTTCATTCTAAGCGTTTCCATGTTGATTTATTGCATGTGATTTGCGGCTCATATTTTTTACATTTTTTGGTTAACCCCAAATGAAATTAAATTTTCTTTTTTCCGTTTCTGGGTAAATTATTATGCAGAATAACATGTCACGAAGTGACGACCCGAATGACTATGTAGTACATGACCCACTCCTGGAAAAGGGAAAAGAGAAATTCAACCGAATGCAGGCCAAGGAAAAACGAAGGCAACGTGAATGGGCCGGGAAATCTATTTCTTGAACGATTTTCTCCTTCCTCCGGAAACAACATTGAGTTTCCCTATAGCTTTTACAAGACATCGGCCGTAATAGAAAACCTGCAACACAATCTAATGAAAGTCTAATTTGATATTTTACATAGTATGTGGATCAAGAATGAAAATCTTGTCTTTTCGGCTTTTCCATTTCTTCTGTTTGAGTTTGAAGATGCGGTCTCGCTTCACAATGTCCCTTCCATTTTTGTGTTGTATATGTACATATATGTGCTATCCAGGTAGACAGTTTAAGATTTGTTCATGGATTTTTTTTTCCTTTTTTGGGGTATACACCATACAGCCTGGAGGTGTCACATTATTAGAAAGTCATATTCTGCTTCTTTTTATAGGAATCTTGACATTTCACCAGTTTGTTAGACTTCCAGCATTTGTTTAATCAGTATGGTGTTGGATTTCGCTCTACACACGAGCAGTTTAGTCACCCGGTTTTTCACAGTTCAAACAATGCACACGGGCGAAAAATCGAGTGACTGTAGTCTGTACTGTAGTGTGTGGGGTTGAATTTGCCCAATATGGCATTGACAGAAAATGGTTTAACAGTAGAAATAGGCAGAAAATCACATGATTCTGTTTGACCATGTGAATGAAACTGTTTGAAATTCCCTGGAAATGAGTTTGATGAACTAAGAATAGCTGTTGCCGCGTATTAGTCAAGGCAGGTCAGATTTTTCCACTGGAAAAAACTGTCTTATTGAAAACACTTTTTTTTAATGTTTTTATTCCATTTAGACACACTATTTTTACACAAATGTACATAAAAATATGTTTCTGTTTGAAAAATGATGATATTCTAGCGTGTATGATTCTGAGATTTGGCCCTGGGACGTTGAAAATGATGTACATGGAACTGTTATCAGAAATGGTGCAGGTAGTCAGGTGTACAAAAACTGTCATAGTACAGCAAAGTCGGTTGAGAAACAGGTACTCGATTCAAATCTATCTCAATTGTTTATAAACTTTTAATTATATATTGAAAATTCAATTCAATTTTTTCTAACTCTACGGAAGAACACAGTTTCGAACACGACACTATTATTTGATATGGATAACATATTTTTCTCGCAACTATCGTGTTTTGAAGCAAAATCGTATACATTTAAAATAGTCATGGAAAATAGTAATAAATAGAGGCAAAAATGAAAAAAATTTCAACGTCTCCGGAAAAACACGATGGTTGCGAGAAAAATATGTTATCTACATCAAATGATAATGTCGTGTTCGAAACCATGTTATAACATTATTCTCAATATTATTAACATAATTAAATAATATCAATTTATTATTTTTACACATCACATTAATTTTAATTCATTTTTCATTTGTTCACATAATTTTAACTAACTATCACTTTACATCACATTTCTCCTATTTTTACATCAAATCAACTTTAATTATTTTATTTTAAATATTATTTTAATATAAACTTAAAATTTCACTAACAAATAATCATACAATTTTTCAAATTTAACTCTAATTAACTAAAAAAACTCGTTTTCAAAGAATATATCCGTATCCAAGCACGGCATGAGAATTTCCTAATATTCAAGCTCAACTATGATCAAGTTGGCACTACCTAATCAATAAATAACCAATATTAAAAGCAAAAATAAACGACCTATTTAAGTGTGGTGTGAAGAAAATCGTACATAGACATTTAATTTATTTATTTGTAATTTTCATAATAGTTGAAATTATTTTAAAAACTAGAATAGAATTAAAAAGTAGAATTGAAATTATTAAAAAAAATAGAATTAAACATATTAAATGTTTAAATATTTAAAAATGAAATTGAATTGATCTTTTAATTTAGGTTAATTTAGATAAATGTTGATTTAGTAGTTATTAATAATACGTTATATATATATATATATAGGGGTTGGTTCAAATAAAAACTAGTTCTGGTGTGAGAACCGTGAGAACCATATTTGATGCTATTTTTAATTGTGTACGATGCTATTTTTAATCTCACATGATGCTATCATTTTTACAAATACTAACATAAATTGTGTTGCTATTTTTCATAAAATACATCATGATTAAAAATAGCACTAAAATGCAATCAATCATAGCACTACATACAATTAAAAATAGCGGTTCTCACGGTTCTCACGCTAGGACTTAGTTCCCATTTGAACCAAATCCTATATGCTTATATATAAATATAAATATTTTATACTTATATTTTAACATAATACTTTTTACATAAATAAACATTTATTTCTAGTACTAATTAATTTATAAATAATATTAAACAAATTCTATAATATATAACCTAATAATTTTTAGCACTTTAAGATAATTACACAATCCATTAAAATCGTAATTTAAAAATTTTAAATTAAAACGACGTCTAAAATAAAACAGAGGGAGTAACATTTATAATCGAGCTATCTTTATCCTATATCATATCGCAACATGGATATGAACTTTATCAAATCTATCACAAGAACAAGGTGAGCGACCTGAGCCATCCAACCTGATTAGCTAGATTATCTCGAGTTAATAAATTTAGTTCAGTCGAGTTGAGTTAAATCAGATGGCTAAAACACACTTATACGTATATGTGTTAGAGCACCCACAATGTTTTGGGTCTCTTAACAAAAAATCATATGCCAAGTAGGAAATAGACTTAGTCTATAAAAAAAAATTTCTCAATACAATTAAAAGTGGACATGGTCTAGCTTATGTGACAATAAAAAAAAAGAGACCAAGTCCACACTTGAGTTTATTGGTTGGCATGTATGATAGACCTAGTATTTTATTTTTTGTAGTGAATAACTTTTGAATTTTTTTACTTGGATTTTGTCCATGTCATTTTGGACTCAAGTCCATTTATATGCCACATACGTAAAATTAGAACTAATGCATTGTAGGTGCTCTTAGATACCATGGATAAAACCATTAGAATATGATGAAATTTTCCATCTTTAACAAACCCATCCTCATCTTCCTAGGGGCTTTGCATTATCTTCTCACTCGAAACTTCCTCATATCTTTTATGCCGCCCGTGTTCACACCAATCCCACACGTCTCCCTCTCTCTTATTTCTCTCTCTATACATAATCGTTGGCACTTGGCAGACATTATTATATGGGCAGCTGACCCGAAAAAGTTTTTCAAATCCCCTTATGTTTGACAATCATCTGACGCGTTCACACTTCCATTCACACATTTCGTCGATCACCTCGTCTACATATCTATCAAACTCCCCGATTGCTCCATTTCCCCTTTGTTGGTTCTTTCTTGTTTCTTTGTTGGTTCTTTCTTGTTTCTACTCTTTCGATTCAGATTTTCGCTCTTTTCTTTGAAAAATATTTATTTTTGAGATGAACGAGTTTAAGCAGCAGCAGCAGCCGCAGTCTCGGAAGAGGAGCAAAAGAGACGACAACCCAAACGACGCCGTTGCGGCCCAGGACGCCGACAAGAAGGTGAAGACCAAAGGCCTGACCGAGATTATAAACTCCCTGATTCTGCTCGACCATCAGGGGAAAAACGAAATCGAGGAGCTCGACAATTCCAATCAGGACGAGAGGCACCAGGCGGACGAAAACCACAGCCAGCGGTCGCTGGCCATGGCCGACTACTACTCCCAGCTGCAGGACGACCACCGCGAGCCCGCCCTCGTCGAGGACACGCGCCGCCGCAAATCGCGGTCCGACCCCCTCGCCAGCGCCGTAGACGATCCCCCCGCCGACGCCGAAGGATCCCCCTCGGCGAACGGCGACAAACCCCCCTCGGCCGGCCCCCACCGTCGGCTCTGGGTGAAGAACCGATCCCGCGACTGGTGGGACCAGTGCAGCAGCCCCGACTTCCCGGACGAGGAGTTCAGGAAAGCGTTCCGAATGGGGAAAGAGACGTTCGACTTGATCTGCAGCGAGCTCAGCTCCGTCGTCGCCAAGGAGAACACCATGCTCAGGGACGCCGTCCCCGTCCGCCAGCGCGTGGCCGTCTGCATCTGGCGGCTGGCCACCGGCGAGCCCCTCCGCCTCGTGTCCAAAAAATTCGGTCTGGGCATATCCACCTGTCACAAGCTCGTTCTCGAGGTCTGCTCAGCTATCCGGAACGTCCTAATGCCCAAATACCTCCGGTGGCCGGAAAACGAGGCCGTCCAGACCATCAAGGACCAGTTCGAGTCCATCTCCGGCATACCCAATGTGGTCGGGTCCATGTACACCACCCACATCCCCATAATCGCTCCCAAAATCAGCGTGGCCGCTTATTTCAACCGAAGGCACACCGAACGCAACCAGAAGACTTCCTATTCGATCACAGTCCAAGGAGTGGTGGACCACAGAGGAGTATTCACGGACGTGTGCATAGGCTATCCGGGCTCGATGCCCGACGACCAAATCTTGGAAAAGTCGACACTTTTTCAACGGGCAAATGCGGGTTTTTACCAGGGTGTGTGGATTGTGGGTGGGACAGGCTACCCGTTGATGGACTGGGTTTTGGTTCCCTACACGCAGCAGCACTTAACATGGACACAGCACGCATTTAACGAGAAAATCGGGGAAATTCAGAGGATTGCAAAGGAGTCTTTTGCAAGGCTCAAGGGGAGATGGGGCTGCCTGCAGAAAAGAACAGAGGTGAAGCTTCAGGACCTGCCAGTCGTGCTTGGGGCTTGTTGTGTATTGCATAATATATGTGAGTTGAGGAATGAGGGCCTAATCCCGGGCCTGGAGTTTGAGTTTTTTGATGATGAGATGGTGCCTGAGGTCGGGTTGAGGTCAGCGATTGCTATGAAGGCGCGGGATGCTATTGCGCATAATTTGCTGCATCATAATCATGCAGGGACCTCATTTCTTTCGTAGGGGGAAAAAGGATGATGAAATATGGGATTTTGGAGGTTTTAAGTTCATGGGTTTATTGCATTTGTTGTTGTAGTTAATGTAATGGATGGTTTTGCTTGTTTCCTTTTTTTAGCATGGAGGCATTATACAGAACAAAGAAAGACAGATACACAATTAGCTGAGTAAGTTTCACCTTTTGGATATGTTCATTATTACATATATTGGTTTTGAGGCTGAAATCTGAATTGTTTTATTGCTTCTTTCTATCAAATGAAAGTTTGATTCTTGTGGATAGAACTGTTGGCAACAAATTGCAGTTATGGTGCTCTAAACTCTCCCTTAAGCTTTGTTATAGAAAAGTTACTAGCTTTTGGGCTTTGAGGCATATATTGATGAAACAGGGCTAGTTCAGTTCTACAGTGAGTTGGTTTTCTGTTTAGGTGCACTCATTACATTTGTTTTATGATTGCTTCATTTTGTTGCTAGATTATTCTCGTAAATATTTGCAATTTGAAACCTTTGTGTGATCTTATTTTCATTCTAATGCTTGGGTTTTGCTTTTATTTGATTCAAGCATACAAGTATTTTGTTGCTAAATCAGGTAAGTCAGCAAAGTATATGAATCACATTGCCCTTGGGCTCACTTGAGCTCTATTCTTAACTTCTTGTGATGAGAAGGACAGGTTCAGTTTTCTTCCTTTGAACAGGTAAATATCATATATTATTATTTCTTGCAGTTTGATTTATTGTCTCGGGACTTTTCA